ATTACACCGGCGGAGCGCCAAAGGCCTCGGGCATGCGCTCGACGCTGTAGCGGTGGTTGGAAATATACATGATCGGCACACCGGGAACCTTGCGCAGGCGCCGACGGAGATCGCGATCACAGGTGGCCACAATGTAGCAGGGGTGCTGGGTCACACGCTCAACCAGACAGTCATCAGCGTACGTGCCCTTGTGCGTGCAGGCAATACGCTCGAAGCGAGGGTCCTTGGCCACGCTGCGGGGGGAAGCCCGTGAGAAGATTAGACACCAATTGGAGGAGCCATTTGGATGGGAGACAGGGAGGGGAGGAGGGGCGAGAAAGGAGAATACGAACCGCAATGCGACACGGAAGCGAGAGCCCAGCTTCTCGATTTCAGCCATCACGCAATCAGTGATACAGGGAATGGCTGTGGTCCGGGGACAACAAACAGGGAGAAGGTGAGACAAGTGGTCGGAAAGAGCAACCCCCCCCCCCCCCCCCCTCCCCGCCCCTCAATGCCAGACCCCGGAGGCGAATGCTGGCGTACACTTGGCATAGAGACAGTCCATCATGGATTTGATGAGCTCCAGCTTGTTTTGGATGCTGAAGTTGATGAAGTTCGTATCAACCAGCACGCGGTACGGCGGGCCGAGGGCCGTGTTGTAGCGGAAGAAGAGACCGGTGTTGACGGCACCCAGATCACGAACCTGCGGGGTGTCGGGCTTCTTGTTCTTCTCGGCGTTGGCCTGCTTGGCCTTGACAGCCTTGCTGCTCGGGAGCAAGGGCGAGGGGGGGGGAGTGTGAGGGAGGCAGGGCAGAAAGGGAGACAGATGAGATGTCAGGATCCGGCAGGAAGACAGGTCGAGTTGAGCAAGGGCCGATCAGTGCGCACAGGCGGGCGTCCTTCGCGGTGTCGATGACGCGCTTGACAGCGGCGAACTTGCGTGTCTTCTTGGCCTTCGACTGTGGGTCCGTGGATAGAAGGGGGGGCGGGACAGTCAGAGAAGTGCCAAGCAAGGGGCCCAACCAGAGGAGCAGGGACATTGACGCTGACGTACCATGATGATGAAAAGGACGGGAGGGGGAACGGAAGGGGAAGATAGGCTGGCGGGCGGTGTGCGAGAGACGGCGGGAGGGAAAGAGAGAGCGCGCGCGAGGGGAGAGGGAGCGAAGGGGAAAGGAGGCGGGGGGGGGGGCATGGCAAAAGGGGCAGCCGCGGGAAGTTGGTCGGCAAAAAGGCAAGAAAAAAACCCTCCCAAGTGCAGGGAGAGATCTCTCGCAGGGAGCGGGGGGCGGGGGGACTTTCGGCGCGTGGCGGCGCTCGTCGCTCGGGCGTGGGGGGCTGGTCAACCTCACACTCATGGTCGTATCACGGTCCTCCGTGTGATGTGACGCCGTCTCATGTGATACACCCTGTCAGTCCGAAGCCACTAGAATTAGACCAGCCGTTCGATTGACGCTTCCTTGTCCGTCGTGTGTGAGGCTCGATATTTCATTTCTCCACTCTGCCCTGTGCAGGGGAAATTAGCGACGTATGGACCGGACATTTACGCTCAGGCCCGCCTGCCTCCGCCGCGCCGCTCCGGACAGGCCAAGTTGCTCATGCTTGCTCCCTGCCTGCGACTTGACCCCCGTCCTGGCGACCGTAATCGGGTCCCAGGTTAGACCCCCCCCTGCCACTCGGTGGGCGTCCGACAGTCGCCGGATCGTGCGAGCGCCCCGCCCCGCTGGGCTGAGGCCCGCCCAAGCCAAGGTGTCCCGTCACCCATGAATCTGTCCCCCCCCCCCCCCTGGCCCCCTTCGTGGAGCACTCCAACACACCCAATACCACACCTCCCCGTTCGTCTCCGCTTCGCCGCGCGCTCCCACCCTTTTCGAGCCTCCGGCCTCAAGATTGCGTCACTTACTAACATGTATCCCTCCTCCTGCGCGGCCTCTCCCCTCCCCCCCCCCTCCTCCCTCCCCCGCTCTACACATACACCACGCCTCTTTCTCTGCAGCCTCCCCGCCCTCCCCTCCCCACCATCTCCCCCTCCTCCCGCGCCACATCCCGTGTCCCCTCACCAGTGTACTTCCCTAGCCTCTCGCTGCCGGCCTTTCGCAATCCTCGCGCGCCAAGTTTGTCCCCCCCCCCCCCCCCCCGCCCCCCCCCCCCCCCCCCCCCTGTCCCTGCCCCTGCCCCTACCTGACTCTTGTCTCCTGTCTCCTGTCTCCTCTCCTTAGCGACCATGTCCGACACCATGCGTTTCATTGAGAGCCAGCTTGGCGAGGCTGGCCAGGGCACCCCCCTCTTTGAGACGTGGAGCCTGATCAAGACCCTCTTCGAGAAGCGGTAAGTCCCTTTTTCCCCATCCCCGAATTTTCCTCCCCAAACTCTGCATCCCCCCCCCCCTGCGCACACACACACACACACAAACACCAACACACACCTCCCCTTGACCTCTTCCCTTCGCACATCTCCGGCTGTCAATCCCCCTGCCTGACATGTACACCATTTGTGCCCCCCTCCGCCGACCTTACGTAGTCTGTGGTACCAGCTGACCGAGGTCCTAAAGGACCACATTCGGTCCTGCCGTGCCAACATGACCCCCATTGAGCCGCCCTTCTCCGATGCCAAGACCCCCCTGGACAATGACATGTCCCCACTGGTTCCCCTGTTCAATCGCTTCATCTTCCCCTCGCTGAAGGACGACATCAGCCCCCTCGCCCTGGCCGAGCTCTCGATTGCCATCGCCGAGACCGTTCCGAGTGCGTGTCCCCGATGACGTCCACATTTATTTGCATATTCCCCTCTCGCCTCTGGGTGCCTCGCTCCCCGCGTTGGTGTATTCTAACATGCGTCTGCCCATGCGCCTCCCATCCAGTTCCCTTCGCCGCCGAGTCCCTGCTGCTTCGGTCGGCCCAGTTCCTCGGTCGCAACCTGCCGGCTCTCGCCTCGGAGGAGACCGAGGAGACCGAGAAGAACCCGCTGTCTGGCTTCACCGCCGTGGTGGTTGGTGCCGACTCGGCCTATGTTCGTCTCATGGCCGAGGTTGCTCGGCGTGCTCTGATGCGTGGCGATGTTCGGGCTTGCCGCGATGGTGTGTCCTGCTCGCTGATCTCCCCTCCCTTTTGCTCGCTTGCCCTGCCTTTCCCCCCGCCGTGCCTGCGCGCCACTTCATGCCTGTTGACTGTCCGCCGCCCCCCCCCCCCTTCCCCCGCTCGCACACTTGTGCATAGGCCTCGAGAAGTTGGAGCCTCGCTTTGAGGCTCTGCAGTCCCTCGACCCGCCGACCCATGCTGCTTGGTTCCGTGCGCAGGCCGAGATGTTCAAGGCGCGCAACCGCCCGGATGACACCTACCGGGCCATCCTGTCGCTGATGGATGTCGGCGGCCCGGCGGCCCTGGCCGCGTGTGGTTGGCTCGGGCTGTCTCTCGGGGCCGATCCGGCTGCCGCCCTCTTCCGCACCCCGGCCGTCATCAGCATGGCCCTGGACTCTTGCCTCGCCGGCCTGCTGAGCCACGACATCTACGATGTCAGTGAGATGGTATGTGCCTGCCCTGTGCCCGATTGCCCTCTGCCCCCTCTATCCCACTCACCACCGCCGCCGCCGCCGCCGCCGCCGCCGCCTTAACCCCATCCCAGATCGCCACTGGCCTGCCTGCCTCTCTGGCCGATACCCCCTTCACCTGGGTGGCGGAGATTTTCAAGGCCGTTGATGCCGGTGACCTGGCCGAGTGGGCCCGCCTGGACCAGCAGTATCTTGGTTCTGGCACCAATGCATCCTCGCCGGCCGCTGCTCTGCTTGCTACCCCCCAGGCGCGTGCCCTGGCCAAGCGCAAGACCCAGCTGGCTGCCCTGACTGAGCTGGCCTTCAGCCTGGGTGATGAGATTGATGCCTCGCCGGCCGGGTCTGGCATTCGCACCGTGGACTTCACTCGTGTGGCCAAGGCGGTTGGCATTTCGCAGGCCGCTCCCGGCGTCCAATGCACCCCGGAGGAGGATGCCGACACGGAGCTCCTTCTGATTAAGGCCATGTCGCTGGGGATCATCAGCGGGGTATGTTGCCGTCCTTGCTTGCTCTGCTCTGCCATCTCCCTCGCCCGTTGCTTCGGCCAATGCACCTGGGCCCCTGTGTGCGCTGCCGTTGGGAAGGAAAACTCACCCATGCCCCAATGCCCCCCCCCC